CTATCTCAATGACATTAACCACCATAAGCTTATTATTATGGAAGTTTTAATATGCACATATCCATGTGCCCTGGAGTTATTATCCCCCACATCCAGTACACAGCCTTCCCTCAAATGACAGAATCCCTCAAGTTCTAGCTCCTTACTGGAACTTGCTACATGTGTCAAGATAAAGCCATGTCATGTCATTTCTTTGTGTCCTTCATAGCACCCAACATTTAATTCAACATGAGCCCAAATAAGCATAAAAGCCTATTAACAATGAAAGGTAGACTAGAAGCTTAGAGACATGGGTTCTTCTTTAAAATATTAATAAGTATTTGAATTTGGATGAAACTATTATCATGTAATGTTGGAACATTATTTTTGTCTTCTTAAAAATTCTGTCTTCCAGTTTGTTAACGGAGAGAATTTTTAAAGATGACTTTGAAACTAGAATGTGTATTCCATCCAAATGTAATAAAAGAGACTATTAGTCATTTGTGCCAAATAGAACCATTTAGTTTCAATAATTATCAATATGGTCATAATCATACCCAATGTTTCCAGCTGCTACCACTGAATTATATTTAGCAAATTTGAGATATTTGAAATTTTAGTACAAGATATCCTTTTGTAGGTGGTTATAAAGTAAAATTCTTATTCCTTGCCCTCATGTTCTCTGTGGTCCACTGTCTAATAACATGAGATACCTAAAAATAATCAGTTAAAAAAGTAGGTCATTAAACTATCGCTACAGATTTTACATAAAACCCATGAAAAACTTTAAAAACTAGAAACACTTTTCACTTTCTTCAAAAAAAATTTTACTTACATTTACATAAAAAAACAAGGTATTTCTTTTTCCAACCAACTTGTAAGTAATTCTTACCATCTTCATTTAAAAAAAGTTTGTTGAATCTTAATCCACTTGGCTCTTTCCCAACATATCGGTGCACATACTCAGTTCCAAGATCATTAACAGCAATGGCATATTTCAAAGGTTTTACACAGGATTGAAGACAAAAGGGGACTTTGGTATCTCCAATCGAATGCCTATTTAAAAGCAGATTTAAAAAATAATTAGCATCAACTGGAAAAAAACTAACTGCATAAATGAGAATAAGCTCAGTTTACAAAGACTTTTCCCATAATTCAACAAGTTACTTCAAAATTAAAGAATGTAAATATGTTTATTTTAAGAGGGATACTGCAAAAAAAGGTAAAAGCATGAAGTACGTGGATAATAGTATAGCAGTCCTAAATTAAATGATAAATAAGTAATGTGGAAATTTTCCCTTGAGGGAAAGACTACTGCCCTCTCTTTACTCCTACCTGTATTCAATTACATAAAGTGAACTAGCCATGCTAGAAATTATTCTTTTTTTCTTACAGTCTTGCCATGACTAACTTATAATTAGTATGAGAGTTAAACAGAACTCAGTTTAGACTGAGTGCCATATTCTGACACCCTATGTTTATATACACAGGCATTATATATACAATAGTTGTATGTATATAAAGTTATATGTATATAAACATATATATACACATTAGTTGTATGTATAGCATATATATAATATTGCATGTATATATACAATATTTTATAAGCATTGTAACAAATACAGACAGGGTATCAAAATAAATAATAAAAACAAAAAATTCCATCACTGAGTTAAATCAGTGTAAAATGACTAATACCCTGTCTATAAATGCCTCGTTTGGAAACCACCTCTACTCCCAGTTCCAGCCCCAGAAGAAACTGCATCCCATTTTATAAACCCCATAGAGCTGACACTAAGTTACAACAGGCAGTCATCATTACTATATAGGTAAACAACAGAATAAAAAGAAAGCTTTCTATGCTACCAAACTGAGGAACTAAACTAGACAGTATATTTGGGAATGCAAAAATTCTGCCTACCCCAGTTACAACTAAGCCTCACAAGGGCAGAGGTCTTCAATCCAATTCACTGGTATATACCTATACCAGGTGCTCTTAACCACACTAACACATCACAGACACTAACCACTCATAGTGCAACTGGGATGCTATTAATAATTACCCCAGGCAGAGGTGAACAGAGACTTCAGAAGTCAAACAGGAAGCACACCTACCCACCTCGCTTCTAAGTATATTATAGAAATACACACACACACATATATGTATATATATATACATATATGTGTGTAGGAAAAGCAGTTAATATTTTTCTTATCAAATATATGTATAACTTCTAATTCAGACTGTAACCTTGACAATAATTCTAAAAATGATTAAGAGGTCTATTTGATTACATTTGCATTTAAAAATACATATTTTCTAGTTTCAAAGTCAACTTTAAAAATTCTTTACATTAAAGATGTTTAGAAAGAGAAAAATCATGTGCTCTCATTGCATAATAATTTCTTCCCAATTCAAAAAATGTTATTACATAATAAACTCTTTTCTCAATATACAAAAATAGAAATATCACTCCCTACTGGAATCTGCTCAATGGGATGAAGCCATTTCTTTGTATCCAATATTTAATTCAACACACAATATTTCAAACATTTTATGTGCCAAAGGAAGGTAAGAACCTGCAACAATGGAAAGAAAAACAGACTAAAGTTTAGAGATCTAGGGGCTTGTCTGACTTTTGCCAAAATCATATCAACTATACCTCCAAAATTATGGACTAAACCATATGATTTTTATTATAAATACTTCAGGATAGTTATTTTTAAAAATTAAAGCCACTTACAATGAAGGTACTAAAGAGATCAAAATTTCAAAAATAGAAGGAAAGACTTCAGTTAAGAACATAATTTTAAAAAGTAAAACCTAAAATTACAAGATTGCATGACTTGCAGTCCTAACAAAATTTAGGGTAAAATTATATCAAGCTATATACAGTAAGCCCCTTTTTAGACGTGATTTTTTCCCCAAGTGCACTCAAAAAAACATTCCCATACACGCATCACACAGCTCAGTAGATAGGGAGAAACTTAGTCTTGCATTAATTACTAGTTGTGTTTAAACTCTAAGCATTATAAGAATACAAAGTTTTCCTCAACAGCAGTCTTCTTGGAACCATATAACCCCTGTGAATAACAAGGGTCTTCTGTATGCACTTAATAAGTTGCATACATTTTTACATAATTATATTTTAACAAAAAAACAAATAATTAACAAAAAAATTCTATCACTGAATTAAGTCAGTGTAAAAACAGATTTTTCTCTTACGGCATAATTTTTCTGACAAAACCAAATTACACCATGATTATGATTTTCAGGACCATAAAAAGGATCGTTCTTGAAAAAAATATTCCAGAACGTTACCATTTTTCCAAGACACTCTTTTAATTCTTTGATTTTTTTAATCAAATCATTCTCTCTAAAGAGCCCACATTATATAATTATCTTTCTTATAATTCTGCAGGTTCCCCATTTGTCAGCAGTTGTGCTTGAGATATGAGCATATCCCAAATATGGCTTTCACGGACTTTATGAAATCTTGCATGCTTTGCAACTCACTTTTCATTCTGCAAATGATTAAAGGATAATGGGATATGTTACCTTCCATGATCTTAACTCTTGTGATAATCATACCAAGACCATGAGGAACAAAGATGAGTAACCAATGATAAACTGAGAAATGGGGACTAATTTATTAGTGGTCAGCTCATTAGAATAATGTCATGTTTTGACAAGCCTATTTTTCTTGAACTTCAGGTCCTCGAATAAAATTCAAATAATAATATTATAACTGTGACTAAGAAGGATAAAATAACTCAAAACAATGCAAAATTACTGTTTCAGTTTTTTTTTAATTGCATTAAAATCTAAACTTATTTACCTTTCTGAAATTATCATGGTAGGACTAATTTCCATTATAACAGTGACCTCATGCTCACTGTTACACAAAAGATTTAAGGGTTAAAGTTGATTTTCATAGATCGGAAATAAACTTACCTCTGTCCATCTACTGTACAAACAGACACACCCCACAAATCAGGACTGAACTTGGCCAATTGAGGAATATAATCTGCAACCTATACAAAATATTGAAAAGAAATTAACATTTAACACATGCAAATGATGTTTTTTCTTATACCAAAAACCGTCTTATCTCAACTTAGCTTCTATAAATGAACATTTTATAATGCTAAGGAGCTCTGCAGTCTATCTTCAGAATAATACTTGTAAAAACTAAAGGCACAAAAGGACTTCATGATTAAGGCAAGATTAAGTGACTTCTCCAATTCTCTCATTCTGTTTTCCAAAACATTCATTCTTCTTAAAAAGCAATCAGTTAGGTATAGCAGCACACTGCTAACATAGAAGAATCACCAAGTTCAAGGCCAACTTAAGCTACTTAGTAAGTTCTAGGCCAGCCTGAGCTATGTAATAGTTAGACCCTGTCTCAGGAAAACAAGAAAAAAAGCAGAGAGTTGAAAAGAACTTGAACTCGATTTTTATTTTTAAAGGAAAACTGGGGTGCTGGTAGTTACACTATCTAAAAAATTAAAATAAGTAGTAACTATTAATACTGAAATTATTATCAAGATATATTATACTACAGTTACCCAAAGCTGAAACAAAAGAAAATAAAAAGCTTTCAACACAGAGATTATGTAAAATAGGCGCTACTATTTTCTAAAGGAATTTTTTTTGGATAGGTTAATGTGAACCCAGGGCCTGGCACATGGGCTCTACCACTGAGCTACATTCCCAGCTTCCTAGATGATTATTTAAAACTAAAAACACTGTACTTAACATTGAAGGATATCAGATATGCAGAAATCCCCAGTGGCTCATGCCTGTAATCCTACCTACTCAGGAGCCAGAGATCAGGAGGATCACGGTTCCAAGCCAGCTTGGGCAAATACTCAACACAAAATAAGGCTGGTGGAATGGCTGGCTGAAGTGGTAGAACGCCTACCTAGCAAGTGTGAGGCCTGGAGTTCAAACCCCAGTATCACCAAAAAAACAAACAAAAAACAACAACAACAAAATATATATATATAATATATTATATATATTAATTAAAAATTCAAAGGCCATTTCAATAACTTGAAAATTAATAAGAAAATCTTAAATTTAGGTCTCACTATAGGCAGAATAACTAAGTTAAATATTTTTAAAGCACTAAATCCAGTTGATGGGTTTAATTTAAATTTCCTAATCAGCCAACAAAAGAAAACCATACAATATTCTCTCTATAGTGAAATCAAGGCCAATTATCAAATGATTGAGATAGGAAAATATGCACATCCAAAATGTTACCTTTCCTCCAGACTGCTTTTTAGCGCTTTCATATAGCTCATCGATGTGTGAGGTAAAAGACATAAAGTCAGGAATAACAAACTTTCTTCTAAAGGCTTGTGTCAACAAAACAATGTTGCTTTGAACACATCTGTGGAATGTAAGAAAATAATTAATAGAATGGATGCCTTTCAATGTACCTGGTAGTAACAGCACTAATTAGGAGAATATTAATATCATATTTAAACAAGGCAAATTCATCTTTTATACAAATGAAGTTTATAAATTATATTATTTGCAAATTTTTTTCTTTCTTTCAAGCAGTCTTTCATGTAGTTGCTTGTAAGCTGAACAGGTTAGAAGTAAATTAAATGTACCTAAAACTTGTGTCAAAGATTGATAAAACAGCATTCCACGGGTTTAAGTAATAAGACCATTTGAAACAAGTTTTCTTATTCTACCAGAACTGATAAACACTCAACATGACATTTTGCTAGCAAAAATAACTTTAAAATATCAGATGAGTAAAATTCTGTTGATTTTTCAAATTAGTAATCTCAGTCATATGCCTCTTAGTTCTTACATAATCACTAATATGTCACAAAAAATGACAAACTTACATTGTAACATGTTTCCTGAACAATATTTTGAAGGTTTTGTATTTCTAAGTTAACAAATTGGAAATAAGATCAACTTGACAAACAAATTAATTCTCTTAAGTGAAATATTTGTTAAAATGCTTATAAAATATTGTATAACTTTAAATGAAATTCCATATAAAGTGGTATAACAAATTTTATATTTGTTATGTTTGGTGCTTCCAAAAGCACCAAAATGCTGTTACACTATTCTTTTTAATACAAAATATGCAATACATTATAGAATAAAAATGTTCACTGTTAAAAACTATTTCAAAGGCGTGGCAAACCATGTGGACAGGAGGGCATGAAATCTAGTAATTTGAACTAATATTCTGCTATATACTACAAAGGATATAGAGATCAGAAAATTATTATGTTAATGTAACCAAAAAGAACTTTGTGAATTGACTACAATCAACCTTGTACTCTGAGCTTTAGCCTTCTTAAGATTTCTGAGTATCAGTAACTCAGTAATAGAAAATTTAATTGATAAGGAAGACTTGCTAGACGTAGACATTAAGCCACAATGTTGACTATAATAGATCTTAAGGCTGAGCCCCTAACGGGTGCAAAAACAACTGCTGAAATATTAAAGTCAAAGTGTTATTATGAGAAGTTATATATGTAACTTGATTTTCACAGGTAAGTGACATGCTACATTATGAGTTTTGAGGAAGAGAAAAAAACTGGCATTTTTTACAAAAAGTAACTACTCAGTTACTGATTTAACCCTCAAAATACCAATACTTTCTGAAGAATTTCCCTCCTTCAGATAAAGCAAATGAGACTTTAAATGACAAATTTTTAAATTTCAGTATTTTAATTCAAGTTCTAGATGAAACATCAAATTAAAATTAAAAACCAGGTTTCATACTTTAACTACCAGGTTTCATATTTTAACTATTAATAAAAATATGGAGTATGTATTTGCATGGTCAATATAAAATTAACACAGATTTACAATAAATCCTGATAAAAATGGCTATAGTTTCAGTAATAAAGATTTCTTATTACAACATTCCAAAAAATTAGTTAAAATTTCCACTATTAACTTAAAGAGGTAGAATTAGTCATCCCAGAGCTAACAAATACTTACTTCAATAAACTTTTAAACTTTGATAGCCTTCTAATAGCTTTAAAACAAACCATTATTGTTAAAACTAAGAATGTTAATCTAAAATACATTCTCATCATTGTACTATTTAATATTTAAAAGAGCTTCTAAAATTCAACTTGCAAATATCAAAGTTGCAAGGGAAATATAGCAAAGAACACCTTTCTCAAAGGAAAAGCCTAAGATCATTCCTGAGCTTAAATAACTATCAAATTAAATACACTTTTACATTTGAGAAGTGCCAAATAAACTCACTTTTCATTAGTAAAATAACATTTGGTTTTTTAGAAAACCAAATAATTAGAAATGCAGACCATTCACTTTCTCTGAAACAAAAAAGTCCAAAAAGTGATGCTCACACTTAAAGACAACCCTAATGCCTATAAGGCTAAAAAAATGCACACATGAAGAATTAGTCTTCAGCATAAAATTAGTTTTAAGATTAGTTTCAAGGATTATTAGCATTAAAAACTGACTATATAGTTGAGTATAGGCAGTCTCCAACTTTCAAATAGATTATACTGCAAAGTATATTAGAACTCATTTTCCCATGGTAAAAACAAAAAGTGATACATCATAGTTGTTTCTCAGATGACTACAAAGGCTAAATACATTAACCCATAATTTTCTGTGTTTGTTTTTGGGGTGGTATTGGGGTTTTTGAACTTAGGGCCTTGAGCTATAGCTCAAGCACTCTACCACTTGAGCTATACCTACAACCATTTTTTTTCTTTTTTTAGTTTGAATTATTTTTCAGATATAGTCCGGCTTTTTGTATATTTTTATATATAAATATAAATATATATAATATATATATAACATATAACATATATTATATATAAAATAAATATATATAATAAATATATATATAATATATATACAGATAAATATATTTATATTTTTTTTATTTCTAGGGCCAGTCTCAGACTGTGATTCTCCTACCTATGGCCTTTTAAATAACTCGTACGATAGGCATGTACCATCTCATCCAGCTTATTGACTGAGATGGGGCTCTCTCTTTCCCGTGGGCTGGGCTCTAATGGTGATCCTTACCATCTCTGCCTCCCAAGTAGCTGGGATTACGGGCATGGGTCATGATGCCTGGCAAACCCACAATGCACTTTAGGTAAAATGCCAACACTTTGACTTCAACCAAACATACCCACCTTTTGAAATTATTTCTCAGGGAAAATGAATTCCATGTTTTTTAATACCTCCTTCCAAACTGGTACTAGGTAAGACAGCTTATTTCTGAAAACACCAACTAGGTAACCTCTTATATTTAAAAACAGAGTAGGAACTTCTCTAAAGTAATCACCTCTCCAGGTGACCTAAAAAGGTTAATAGCCAGAGGCTTTGAGTCACTTAATTCTAGGGATAAAAAGAAAAATCTTATGCCTATGGAGTCCTCATATAGACCACTAAATGTGTATCAAGTTGGGAACTGCCTATATTATAATCATAGATTTTTTAAAAATTGGATTAACATTTAAAATTATGGTAACTATTTTCTCTGAATATAATAATAGATGGAAAATTTTATGATTGTATTCCCTAGCTTCATGACTGATTAAGCATATTTAAACTGGTTTTTATTTCATATTTAAACACAGCAATGTTTGTATAAATCACAAAACATTTTAAACAGTATTAAACGTATAAAATATTGCTCCCACTTTAAATTCCAAAGGCAGTTTCCCACACATGTACCTACTATCTCTGAAAACTATACTCACAGATAAGCCAAAATAGCTCCCCAGAAGTATAACTGGAGCACTTTGCAGATAGTTCATGAATTCTAAAAATAAAATAGTCCTTACTACAAAGGTTCAAGTAAATCTAGAAATGAATTCCCTCTGTACAGATGCACACAAACACACAAAAAAGTTCACAGACTCAAAATTCCTAATACCAACTGCAAAGAGGGCCTAATTCTACACTTTAAAATCAGCTGAATTAACAGAAGAACCAAGAACCTTCTGGTGAAATGATAAGGATCCCAAAACTGACAGCAGTGTTTTCACAACATACTAGGAAGCTTCAGAGAACCTCAGTTAAATGCTTATCCCTTCCGATGACTTACTACTATAGTACATTTCCAAGAGATTTCTAAAACATACCATTGAAACCTCCCTCCCACAGAAATTAAAGGAAGTTACAAGTATACACACATACAAATAAAGTTTCAAAATAAATGAAGAAATTCTCTGGGTCCACCTCACCCTAAGCCTACAGTTTAGAAAAAGCCAATGTCTTAAAGTAGTATTTACAATTTTATCCAAGTTTCCACTATCTGTAGTTTAAAATGCTATTTCACTTTATGATTTATTACATACATGTTGTTTATTAATAGTAATCAAACTAACAGAAACACAGTAATGAACATAAATAATAAACAGGCAAATACAGGAATGTCAAATATTCTCCTTCAACCAAATCAAGGCTTTAAACTCTAAAATTGTCTTTAGTTCTTAACTGTTTTAAAAGAAATGAAAATAGCCAAAAGCCTATGCATTAATATGGCTGAAGAAAGAAGAGAAACAGACAATGCAAATTCGTAAACTTAAGGAATAAAGGACTGCCTGAAGCACTCTTATTTTATGTCATCAGAATCACCTTGTGGGAAAGAAATAGCTGAGAAAGCCTGCAAGACATGCAGATAGAAGACAGCACATCCAAACTGGATGCAATCTCCAGGTAAAATAAATTGGAAATATCCACCCCTAAGTTTCTTTATAAGAGATGTAAACAAAGTATACTTTTAACCCACTGTATATAAAAAACCTTAATGTATACCATCATTGTTCTTCAAACAAATGGATGCCTTTAAATCCCTTTTTTTCAGTTACATAGGAAGCACTGGCCTTCGAAGATGCAATTTTGTTTAAAAAGCGAAATCATCATAAGCATAGCAAATCACCATTAAAGGTTTGGCAGAAATTTTTACTTTTTAAAAAGATCTTTGTCTAGCATGACACCATCTGACGTTGTTTGAAGAGTTAATCTTAACATATCCATACACTCTTTCAACCTGGGATCAGACGTTCGCAATCCTGTAGATTTGAGTGCCTGTTTTTAAAAAAATAAAAGTCTGTAAATATATAGTGCAAATAATGTATATGCTTATTCCAAATACAAGTTTTATTCCTGTATATAAAAATGTCTACTCAAGACTTGATCATGTATGTGGCATCTGTGTCACTATTACCCAATTTCTGGACAAGTTTCTCTTTGTTTCTTTCATTTTCTTTCACTGATTACCTTGAAATGAGCATGATAGAAATTTGAAAACATAGTAAGAGAAACAGTATAAATCAGAATCTACATGTCAGATGAGCTTTAAGACTACATTTCAGTAATATTGCATTACTGATTTAGTATTACTAACTTAAAAAAGTTGAAATAGAAAAACATAAAAACTTACTGTAATAAATTTATGAACAGGTATTTTTTCTTGTCCTTCTGCAATTGTATAGAACAGCAAATCTTCCAAGCTAGGTAACAGACCCTGTTTTATTTTACTAAAGGGAAAGGAAAAAATACAAAATTAATCTTTGTGTGAACATTCTAAAGCATTTTAACTAAGACCACTATATTAAATAATTGAATCAGACTATAGCTGAGTTGATCTATTCATCAAGACTGTAGTTATAATGAACACTGATAGACCAAAATCAAATCATTACCACTAGAAACCACACTGGAAACAAGTGAAATATACATAGGTATTTTTAAATCCCAGGTTTTGAAATCTCAATTACCAACTCTAGTGTGCTAATACCTAGCTATCTACTATGGTGATACTGCATCATGAAAGTCCAATGCAATCAATCAGTACTAATTATGGAGTTCTGTAGAGTCATTACTTTGTTTTTATTTTTTTCCAACATGATTACTATCTTTATATATTATTTAAATAGTGAACCTGACTGTAAAATTTGAGAGAGAGCAGTTAAGATCAAGCATACCCATTTTTGAATCCTGGGTATAATCTAGGTATGTAGCATTAGGTAAATCAAATAACCTTTCTATAACTCAGTTTTGTCATCTGAGAAAGGGGGCTATAGTATCCACCTTGAAAGGTTGAGAGGATCAACCTTAATAAATTCAGTATCTCTAGAACACTGCCTGGCAGAGTTAAGTATGCAACAGATGAAGTTATAGGTATTTCTAAAGCAATCGAAGTTTACATAACCAGATCAAATTCCACAAATCATAAAGACTATTAAAACAAAAATTCTAGCTAGGCGCCGGTGGCTCATGTGGGAGGCAGAGATCAGGAGGATCATAGTTCAAAGTCAGCTGGGGCAAATAGTTTGCAAGACCCTATCATGAAAAAGCCCTTCACAAAAAAAAAAAAAGGGGGGGGGGCGGGGGGGAGGAGCTGGTAGAGTGGCTCAAGGTGAATTCAAGCCCCAGTACCACTGAGGGTAAAAAAATTCTACCATAAAAAACACTAAAGTTTTAATTAATTAAACTAGTATAACAATAATATCCTAAGATTAACAACTTTTCAGTGGTAAAAGAAAAGCTTGCAAGTAAACAAATTATAACGAACCTACCCAATGTCTTTCTTTGGCTCAGAAACTGAATACATTTCATTATTCTGAACACCAATGATTATCATAAATACAACAGTAATATTGTATAGGCCTAAAACAGACCAATCCCCGTCCCTACCTACCACGACTTATTGAAATGTCTGAGGAGGGTTGGGGATGCACTTCAGTGCTTGAGCACTTGCCTAGCATGTGCAAGGCTCTAGGTTTGATCCCTAGCACCATTAAAAAGAAAAGAATAGAAAAAAAAAATGTCTGAGGAAAACGTGTTTATATATGTACTTATGTGAGTGTATAAAATACTAAGGAAAGGATTTTACCTATACTTCAGGAAAAATAATATGAGAGAGGTAGGGAATACTAATTTTCTTAAATTTAGAACTTAGTAGTCAATTCTAAATCAGTCATAAGTATAATGGCAACTTTCATACAGAAATTATATACATTACTTTTGTTTAAAAGAAACTGACACACAGCATAAGTCTGTTTAAAATTATGCTTCTGTAGTATTAAAAAGAGCTTTCCTAGACATTACTTAAGGATTATATAGTAATTTCATATGTTAGTAAGACTGAATTATTTAATTCCTAATATAATTACTTTGCAAAATACAATTAGTGATCTCTGTATTTCTATCTAAAAGACAATAGAATATAGAATTAATTCACAAAGCATGTACATTTATACATATAAAATTTCACCTAAAAGGAACATTGACATTAATATTTTTCGTTTTCAAAATTATTACACCCAATTTTGATTTTTAAAATCAATCTTAAAATATATGAATTTCACATCAATTTTTTTGAAATTAAGGCAGAAAGAGGATTATCAATTTAAAATTTAATGACATGTCTGAACTATTCTCTGAAACAATTTTTGCTTTTAGACATCAAAAATGTATCTGTGATATTTTATTAATAGCTGAAATTTATTGATCACTTGTGTTCTAAATACTATACTAAGTGTTTTAGATGCATTCTAATTTAATCCTCTAATGATCTTATGGCAGATATAGTAATCATATAAAACATGATATATTTCCTGGTAAATTGAACTCAACAAAATCATTGAAAGAAAAAAAAGAATATCTCTATTTCACAGGTGAGGAAACAAAATTCAGAGAGGTTAAGAAACTTCCTAAGGTTGCACAGTAGCAGAAATGAATTTGGAATCCCTGTTCCTTTGAATCCAGAGTCCAAATTATTTATCACTATACTCTGGTGGTTCTCTAACTTACTACCTAGTTATTAAGTTATAAGCTAAAATAAGTTTTCTATGTCTTATGCTGATCTAATACATTAAACTGAGTTCAATAATACTGATGACCTAATATTTAAAGAAAAATTGAACCAGCTGTCAAAACACCAGTGGATAATAACATCCCAATTATTTACAGAAAGTGGTTTGTCAGATAAACTTCAGATAGAAGTAGTTTATCATTTTAAAAAACTGCAGAATAAGCTTTCTGCATGTTTATCACAGCAGTAAATGGTATTTGCTTTGTCTAAAAGCTATGTAAATAACAAAATATACACATCTTTAGCCTATGGTACATGGTGCAAAAAAATTAAAATGACCATGTTATTGCCATAGCTAGCAAAAAGGGTAAATATTTACTTTTGGAACAGAGACTAATTTTTACCCATAAAAGAGAATTTAAGCCTTGTCTAACACATATGCTCACAAAATAAATTATCAACACTGATAAAAAGAAACTACTACATATCTCATCATTTAAAAGCTGAGACTCATCTGAAAATGACTTAGTAAACAGAATTCAAATAGTCTTCTCAAACTGCAAAATGTAGAAATTACACCAAAGATCTTTTTTCTCCCCTAAATTGTCTTTGTCTTCACAATCATATATTTTGCTATTAAAATTCAGAAGCTAAAAACTCAGTTTCAAAAACTACAGAGTAATTAACAAATCTCAGAAGTAAGTTTTAATGTCAAAAATAGATTATAGCAGGCTTTCAAATCGTACAATATTAATAATTACTGATAGAGCTGAAGAGTGGTTCAAGCAGTACAGTGCCTGCCTAGCAAGTGTGAAGCCCTAAGTACCACAAAAAAAAAAAATCAATAATCTCCAGACTCCGATTGCATTTTAACATTTTAACATGAAATGGTTATGACACTCAGCAACGAAAATAGGATATACACATAAGCAAATTCAAGGAAAAATCTATTTTACAACTTTTTATTCCTCCAACTTTCATTCTTTTTTCCCTCTCTAATTTCATTACAATATTATTCCTTCTTTTACCCATTCCTTCCTCTACATTAAGCCTTACAAAAAAAGGCTGGGATATTATTCACCAATAGAGTACCTGCCTAGCTGGAGCAGGGGCAGCATTTTTTACAAAAATGAGACATGGATATAATGAGAAATTACAAAAAAAGGAGCTAAGAGATTCAGTCACTGAACTATGCCTTCACTGTGGGCTAAAAAAGGAAGGCTTTCCCCTAATACTTATTTTAGTTTTGCAAAGATTCACCTTTGAAATGTCTTGCTGAACCAGCCATTTTCTTTAAGAGAAAATTTTAAAACAAATTCCTCCTTTTAGTTTCTGTTGTTGCTTCATTTAAAATGTGTTTATCTATGAGTCATTTTTCCTCATATTTTTCTGAAAAAACATTTGTGTCAATCATATAATTATATGAAATAGTATCTTAAATTATAATGAATTTATTTGGTTTCTGTGTTCTTTTTGCTCTGTCATCACTCCTAATATCTCCATATTTTTTAACTAGCAATTTATCAAAAAAAAGATAAAAGCTGTTTTTTTAGAACAGATGGTATTTGAGCTAAACCTTAAAGATGAGTAGAAGGTGCACGCTTGGCAACAGAATGGGATTTCTGGCAAAGGGAACATACTAAAGGGATGCAGGGAGGTATTCCCTGGTTGTTTACAAAAACTAGCAGCTAAAGCACAAGATCTGTGAATTAAAGAACTTGCTTCTTCCACCTATAAGCTATTATAACGCCTCATTTTCAGAGATGAAAATCAACCAATAAATGAGGAGACCTTCTATTCATTAGAAGTATAAATTCAGGGCCAACTTCTGAAATGTGCAAACAGGCAATGTTTTCACTCTATCAACCAACCAATCAGCTTCTCAATACCAAAGGACAATGCAGACCACTCAGTCTGGCCTTCAGTTCTCTATAATTAAGTTTTGCTCTCTATATCCCTAACTTCTTATAATTCCCAAATATAACTGGTTACTTATGGTAAGTCTTGCTTTTTTTAAAAACCTACCGTGCCTTCTGTGTAGAAGCTGCCTTTCCCTAGACTTTTAATGTAGTAGTGATCACTGCAGTTGTTTCATGAGACTTTTTGTCCAGATTCTGTATTCTTTTTAGCACTCACTTACAGACATCACTAAGTTTTGCACTTTTCTTATGTGCCAATCATTGTGGATATAAAGATGAATAAAATAAGGTTGCTGTCTAGAAGACTACAGTAATATGGCAAGTACTAGGGTAGAAATTAATAAAAGTATTAGAAAGTACAGATGAAACATTTGATTTTGGTTTGACGAAGATGGGGGAAATCAAGAATCTTTCTCATTTAAAACTAGAAGCAATTCTGCAAGCTCACTCCATCAGTTCAAAATCTAATAGGTAAAAAACTGTCAGTGAAAGAAGGAAAATGAAGTAATTCAAAAACATTAGTTTTCAATTATAACAAAAAAATGAGATCTACTACTAAGAATACAAAAAAAAGTGATCTTTTTATTTGTATACTCATTTGAAAATTATGGGTCTTAGATGGCAAATATCCATCAACATCCAGCAAATGAGCAGAATAAACCTGCCAGGTTGAAAGTTGAATGAATGTGTGACAAGGTGACAAATTCTTCTTATGAGCCAAGTCATTTTGCTCTAGGGCTAATTATTGGTGGAATTTTAAAATAAAACATCTTTTTAACCCCTTATTGTTTCCTTAAAAAAA